TTTTTAAATATTCTATTATTTATATTAAATACACATCTCGACGGAACATAGATGTCGTTGATCTAAATTCTTCGAAGTAGAGGTCGCTACATGATAGATATGACATCTGTATTCTAAAAATGTATTCATCTCGTCCAGAGTGAGAAGTCGAGGAATCGTGGGTCGTTTGGCTGATACGCGATCAATCTACAGGTTCGACGATTATGACGGCCGATTAATCACGGAATGTACGCGAAAGCCATCGGTGCGATTATTAACTGAAATCGCCATCGGTTATTGTCGGGTTAACTCGCCGCTAATCCGCGCGATCAATTTGTTTCGTGCGACGCCAATTCATTAATGTCCGATGCGGTTGTCTCTGCAGCTGGATAAACCCTTAAACGACGTCGAAATGTTATTCAATATCCGCGAATCTCGTCGAAACTCTACAATCGTTTAAATGTTAACAACAGCTATTACTCGAACGAACGAACAATTTTTTTTCAAAGATTTCAACTAGAGACACTTCGTTCTGTTGAATCGACAAATCTCGAGAGTTCACAGCGCGTTAGGACTTCGAGGATACGAAATAAATATTGCAGATATTTTGTCTGAACAACGATCACAGCTTGATTGACAGAGAAAAAAGTTTCCAGAAGCTATAAAGTAAAAAAAAAAAAAAAAGAAAGAAATGGAAAAACTTTGTAACACAGTAAATTACGCAAGCTTTTATTCGAACGATCATTTTTTCAAAATACACTATCTTCTATCTAAAATTTCTAAGAAAAATTACAAAATCGGTCCATTTAACCGCTCTTGGTAGTCTCGTTTTGTTAAGAAAGAGTATAACGATTTTCCGAATATATTGAAAGAATCGATTAACAGCTGTAAAACTGCTCGATTGACTCGAAAGGTGCGAGAATTAATTGCTTTTCCTGGATTTCCAACGAGAGAGAAATTCAACGATTAACGACGAATTGACTCGAACGATTGATCGACGATCGGCGCACAATCAAATTGAAAAAAAAAAGAAAAAAAAAAAGAAAGAGGAGAGAAGAAAGAAATGATTCTCCACAAACATTCCCTATCAGCTGCACAGCTTTTCTAATTAAATGTTCTGCAAGCTGCCTCTTCGAATCGCCATTGTCGTCATTCTGGCATTGTTCATCGAAGTCGAACGGTTTTGTTTTCTCGTTGTCGCTGACGAGAAAATAAATTTGCCGTCAGTGGCTCGCTGCCGACACTGTACAATGAGCGCGACTCTGTTTTATAAACGTGCGCAATTTCCTTTTCCTTTTTTTCTCTCTCTCTCTCACTCTCTCTTCTCTTTCTCCTTTGTTTTTTTCTCGTCTACTTGAGAGCGAAGCAATTGAGCGAGTTAATGAGTTTCGTAGAGGCTCGTAGTTTCGTTCGAAACTGCATAGTAATTTTCGGAGCACGGCTTCGAAGACTTGGGATTAGAATCGCGACTTGATCAGATTGAAAAAAAAAAAAAAAAATTGCGACAGAAAATTTCCAATTGTTGAAGGTAATTTTAGTGTATAGAGAACGAAAATTCGAGGAAGAGTGACTTTCTCTGAGAGGTTATTGTTTGAACGAGGGTTCGTGCGTGTTACGAACCATTACATCCGTCTCAAGGAAAAGTCTACGCAACGTAATTCTAGAAAAGATATACAATACCGTGTGTAAGTGGAAGAGATACATATTGAAGAATCGAAGAAAAATGGTCTGCGTCATGAAAGAAAGATACAGAAAGCTTATTCATCACTCGAAATTACAGTTCAAGATATATATATATATATATAATTCTGTGGCGTATAATTATACACATCCACACTCATGCTCTCTCTTCAAATTTTTCTAATATTTCTGACCCATTAGGATCCAAAAATTTTTAAAAAGAGACATCACCAGGTGAATTCCACGCCTTTAATTTGATACATGCAAAGGATATGCTGGAAAATTGACCTTGACCTTGAATTTCAAGATCAAAACTTTTTTTTTTGTATCCTACTCATCACAAAGGAATACTGTAAGTCGTAACTCAATAGTTCTCTTGAAAAATAGTAAAAAAAGAATTTTTTAATCGTTTAACGTTGTAGACGGCGTGGGTTCTAACAGCGACTTTACGGTTTACGGATTAAGTTTCACCAACAGTTGATTTATCACAGTGTCGGCATCAATGTGAGTCTAAACAATCGAATGATGAAACTAACTGTTAACGTTATTTGAAACATCAACATTACATCCACCACATAACCATACTATAAAGTCCAGAACCATAAAGTCGCTGTTAGAACCCACGCCGTCTTCGGTGTTAAATGATTAGGAAACTTTTTGCCATTTCAAAATTACTGGAATAGTTTCACCTTCGCGATGAGTGAAATGCAATGAAGGAAAAGATTTGGCCTTGAAATTTAAACTTTTCTTTCGACATATTGAAGCTTCCTTTCCTAATTACTTTCCTTTCAATTAAGCCTAAACCACATGCATAAAACAGCGTAAATTATATACTTTTTTCGTAGTTACACGAAGAAATTCATGCCGCCGTTTTTTTTTTTTTTTCTTTTTCTTCATTAATTAGGCACTATAAAACGATTAAGGAAAGAAAACTGCGATAATAGCGAACACGCGGCGAATTTGAATATAAAGCATCACTTTACATAAACGTTCATCACACGAACGGGCAGAAACTCTTGTTAAAGTTCTGATAAATTCGCCGGAATCTGCATATCGATTAGCATTAACATTATCGGCCAGTTTATCATCCTTTCGCGACTTTCCGAGCATACCACGCCGATATTTTAACCCTGTTTCCCTCCTCCCTCTCCCCCACATTCTGTTTCGCTACCGGCGAATCGTGAAAACGCGCGGAAAATCAAATCGATCGTTCGTGTTTTCAACTCGCGCGGTAACGTTAGTTCGCGGTTTACGTTACGCGTAAAAAACCCTCCGCGTTATTTGTATCTAATAATCGAGTTGCAGCGCAAACTTCGACGAAACGTGTAGACCGCCCGCCTTCTTGTAACTCGCGAAGCGCGTTTAAGATTCAAATGACAGTTTTCCATAATCGGCCGGATGAATTTCGGCGTGATAAAAGTTTGCCCGGCGTCGCGAGCCGAGATAAGATCCTTGGGGACGCGGGACGAAGGGAGGGGGATGCACTTTGCGAAAGTTTAATGAGCCACGAGAACGACGAGGGCCTTCGTTTTGCCTCGTTTGAAACGAAGAAAGAGATTGGATCCTCTCGTTTAGCCTGGAATTCTAATTTTTCTCTTTTTTTCTTCTCGGGCTGAATTTTCAGCGGACGGAGCTTTATTTCTTTTGTTGTCATCGCTTCGGATTGCTCTCCGAGGCGACGGTTGTCGCTTTATTTTCGAATCAACCTTCGGACGGATGGACGTGGCAATTCCGAGCGATGAAAATACAAGTCTCTGGCTAATCCGATTGATTTATCAAATCTCTGAGGATGGTACAACGACCGAGAATGTTTCCACGTCGTAAATGTTACGTTCTTGGCAGACAATCTCGGTAGACGATCTTTTACGATCCGTATGTCTTCTTTACAGTCTTCTTTTATTACGAGAACCGAAAGAATCTGACTTTCCCCGTGTCGAACGATTTTTGGTGTCTCTGACCGCGTCGAGTCACTCGTCGAAATCTCCAGAATGATACAACTACGGGACATTTTTTGAAAATTAATGCAGATCGGTTAACGAACAGTTGTTGTCTCGCGAAAATTTTTATACATTTTATTGTATACATTCATAACTATTGTATACCATTTATATTATTCACGGAAATATTTATATTTTGTTGTATTATAAAATTTTTATATTTACATTATTATAACACATCATAACAACGAACGAATCACCGATTTTTAATTTTTATATTTTGTTATATTATAAAATTTTTATATTTACATTATTATAACACATTTT